ATATAGTTACAACGGCTGCCCCACCCTTCAAACCGAAACGCATTACTGCTTCACGGCAGTAATAGGCAGGGTGATGGTACCTATACGCGCAGACTCACAAAAGGTCCTACCACCAGTAATAGAGCTCATGGCTCACTTGGTGTTAAATAGTTACCGGAGCTGACAGACTTTGCAGCGCGAATGGTACCATCCCGTTTAAGAGATAAGGCCGTAGTCTCAGTTATGCTTATAATATTATATAGCAGTCCGACCCTTCGAACGGGAGCGCATGACAGGTTCGCGGCAGAAATAGGAAAGATGGCGGTATCGGCCCGTGTCAGCTTACAATACGTACGATACCTTATTGACCATGTAAATACGAATAAAGCTCGTGTTCACGCACGATGAAGGAATATATAGATAAATATCGTGGCCACTAATTCCCGCCATCAAAATCTTTGGCCAGCCCATACCATGGTCCTCGAAGGCCAAGTACCTAGGCGTCAACCTCGACAGATGAACGACATTCCGTCTTCATATAAAAACCGTCCGCGAACCGCGTTCTTACTCGATCGCCTCTCAATTCTCCTTCGTTACAAGGTGACACTCACAAAACTTGCATACGTTCCGTCATAACCTATGCAAGTGTAGTGATAGATAACGCGTCTCGTACACACATTAATTCTCTCCAGGTAATCGAATCTCGTTTCTGCAGGAGAGTCGTCGGAGCATCGTGGTACGTGAGGAATGCTGATCTTCACGACGACCTTAATCTAAAACCGTAATATTCCTTAAGACACTTATGTATGTGAGACATTTACTTAGTTAAGAGATGAGACTTAAGATTATTGCGTAAGTAGGTAAGTTAAGTGAGTGTCAGAACGCTACTTTGATAAAGCGGCGCACACCATAACCCTATTACGGTGGCGACTCTTAAGACGCCTCTAACTACATATCCGATCCAGGCGACGCGCGCGACGGTGCAACGCAAAGCCGCTGTTGCCCAAAACATGTCTTGTGAAATCCCCAGATCCGTTCTCGATGCTTTTAGGGTGGCGGGTGCTTGAATAAAAGCACCCGTCGCCGTCCTCGTAGAAGAGTTCGATGTAGGGCTAGCCCACAGATTGGAATCATTGAGTTTCTTGTCGGTGCGTCTCTGAATCTACCAGTTCCGGTAGTAGATGCAGCGAAACACTGCTCTTGCTAGGGCCAGTGTTAGCAAACTGCGTCAGGTTGAGCTCGTGAGCCAGCGATTAGGGAGTAAAGTTACTATTTTGTTTTGTAATAGTCAAGCGATTCACGTGTATTGGGTAACATGCGAGTCCACTAACGTGCGTATGTGTAACTTAATCATGTATTTCATTTGATGAAAAACAGAATAAGTTGATTTATATATCTTATTTCTATTGCTTTTCTGATAAACAAGCTCACAGACACTATGTAGCGGTAGCTATGTGGTTATCGGAGTCCATAAACATTACACAGTAAGTAAATGTCGCAACCCAGTCTTATACATGAGGCCCAAGTCTCAAGTGTATTGCCGCTGTAGTACTGGTCGTTGCACCCTTCAAACCGCCACCTTTAACTGCTTTGCGACAGGGAAAGGTAGGTTGAACTACCGTGCGGGTTTAGAATTCGACCCACCAGTAATAAATGCCCGTTGGCAGTATAAACTACTCAGAGGATGCTGCTGCTCATTCTCCGGTGAATCGCTTAACCACATTTTACGATGCCCAAGGGAAGAGTCGGGGTGATGCTAGTCTAGGTCGACACCATACGGCCAAAATGTAACTTCACTAATACACTACAGTTACAACGTTGTGAAAAAAAAAAAACAAAAAAAAAAAATTTATGTCCAGAGAGACGGTTGTGTTTAAGCACCTTAGCTGCTAATGTAAAATATCAAATCCAGATGACAAAAAACTTTTTAAATAAAATGTAGCTATCATTATTAAGCAAAAGAGGCGGATTAAAGTCGATTGCACGCAGCAGAGATGCGAATGTTGCGATGGATCTCTCTCTGGAGTAACTAGAATGGATAGAATAAGGAATTAATATGCTAGAGGAAGCCTGAAAGTGGCACCTGTGACAGAGAAGTTGAGAAGTGCGCGTTTGGGATGGTCATGTGATGAGACGAAATGACAATGAGATTGTTAAGAGTGTTTTAACTATGAATGTGAAAGGTTTTAGAGGAAGAGCCTTAGACCTAAGAAAACATTTATAAATTGCGTGAAAGACGATATTTGTGAGAGGGGAATGAGCGAAGAAATGCTGTATAATAGAGATGGAGAAAACATGTTGCGTCGATCCCAGCTCACTGGGAGAACAGCAGGAGAATGATGATGATCATTATTAAATAAAAATAGTCTACCATTTTTCTATTTTTTTGTTCTAGCTTCATTGTAAGAACGAGTTTATGTTCCACCTAGCGTTGAGCTAGTGGCTACCCGAGCCAATTTTAAACAAAGTGGATTTACTGAGACTATTACTTTTACTATTACTGAGACTATATTAACTATACTGAGACCTTAGAACTTATATCTCGAGGTGGGTGGCGCATTTACGTTGTAGATGTCTATGGGCTCCAGTAACCACCTAACATCAGGTGGGCTGTGAGCTCGTCCATCCATCTAAGCAATAAAAAAAATAAAAAAAAAATTTCGTCACTCAATTTGAGATACGAGTTCGAAGTTTCAATTAAATTTTAACAACGACTGTCCTGTGCTATGCGCCAGAACGCATGACTACATCGAGGCAGATACTGGCGGGATTTAGGTAACTGCCATTCCAGTTTCCGTTTGGTATACGAGAGAATGTCACATTACCAGTAATTACCATTTTTTGTTTAATTTTCCGTGTTTGTGTTTATTTAGTAACTTCAATTAAAACCCAAGTTATGTTTTATTTCTAAAACGATCTGTGTCAGATTGTCCCATCGGAATATCACATCATTCAATGCAAGTCCGCTTCAATATTTATTTCCTGCTTTAAAGTAGAGCGCTTTTTAAAAATTATTATCTCCGTCGCAAATTCTAGTTCGGAAATGAATTCCCTCCGCGGTTTTTCTAGGTGGAAACGAGGAAGGGATTAGCGTTAAGCGGTTCCCGCAAGAAAAAACGTAAATGTCGCCGCCGCCCGCAGCGAGGAGATGAGAGATGGACGTCGAAGTTTCGATTGCATTACCAGAACCCAATAGTCACAATTTCAATGTTTGAGTCGCACTAAGCGATGGATGCAACAGAAATAGACAGTTTTTCAAGTCGCACTCTTCCTAAGTTCATTTGTAAGTTTGTTCCTGTTCTATGAGTGACGTACCATTTGCCTGATGGTATTGAAATTTAGTATACGTGTTGTTAATACTCCACAGAAGATTCTCGCACCGTTCGTTATTCAATGTGACGTGTTTGGTACATTTTTTTCCCGAATAATTGTCTCCTATGTAAAACTCTGATATAGTCAGACACGATAGATCATATATACGTCTAAACATGTTTCGTGCATCTCGGAAACAACTTTAAATATGTAGATCAAGTTTTAAATATCATTACGAATTGATATGGCCAGGTACAGTATTTTATAAAGCGATAGTAATTTGCTGATATTTCGGCATATCAGTATTCTACCACAACGTAATCGAACCTTGGCTTTCTCACAAAATCGTTCCCCTTATTCCTAGATGTAGTAGGTACTTGTAGATCGCAATCCTGCTGTCAAAGTTTGGTGTGACAAATATAAAAGGAAAGTGTATATATAAAGCGGGGGCAAAAACTTTCTTCCGCCGAGTGCACTCAATACAACAAATCGCTTCCGAGCCAACAAAGTCCTTCACAAGCAGTGCAGTGTTTGACTTACTTAACTATTGTACATTCAAAACAAAATTGTTTTTTTTTATTTCGAAAACGGAAGTTGCATCCGACACGATCAAGAAAGTTTAAGTGAAAGGTTTTGCCGAACTATAAGTTATTTGCAACGTATCGTTTGTACGTTCAATCCGTGGTGAGAGATTTGTCTGTTGATATTCAGAGCCTCCAGGCAGAGCTAACAAATACACATGGAAATAAATCATCGAGTGTATTTTAAGGTACAATTCATCATCATCATCATCTTTCTCGTCCCATTGAGAATAATTTAAGTAATAGGCTTTTTTGCATTACGTTGCATTTTTATCAGCCTATCGACAAGTTGTGCAGCTGCCAGTACTGAAGTCTCGTGAACGTTTTAAGCTTTAAGTAGACGTTATGCTTTCAAAAGCACTAGAAAGTAGCATCTTGAAACTGCGACTTGTATTATTTTTTTATATCTACTGTTTATTCTTAGATTTTCATGGAAAGATTACATTTCATTCGTTGTATTAAATAACTTTTTTTAAATAGACTAAAGTTAGGAGCTGATAGAGTTAAAGGTAGAAATTTCACGATAGCTCATTTCTTGTGTGCGCCGTTAACTACATATATATCCGACTCAGGCCTACGCGCAATACACACAGCCGGCGTCACCCGAAACGTATCTTGTCGGATCCCCCAGATTCATTCTCGGTGCTTTTAGGAGCCTCAAGCACCGGTCACCATTCTCGTCGAAGTCGTCGATGACGACGATTTGGTGGTGGCATTGCTTTTGCCAAGCCAAATTTTAGCAAATCCTCTTAGACTGAGCCTCATGAGTACTGGACTCAAACCAAAATAGCTCCTCGAGGTTAGTACATATAATAAGTGCATGAATCGATCCTCAAACTTTGTACGCTTTTCAACGCGTTTTTGCGAATTTTCAAATGACCAAACCACTAAGATCTTTATTGGTACCTTAGACGAGACTAAAATGTTAAATAGTTATAAGAACCTAGAGGTGCCACTGCATGTCCGAAGCGTCCGTGGGCTAGTGAGTGAGACAAGCGGTTAGCCGGATAAGTTACTTTCCCGAATTATCCTGAAAGTTATTCAAGTGTGACGGTCCAGAGGGAAGCCTGGATGGCATCACACAGAGTAATATACAGAGTAACAAGAAATAGGTGTAACATTACTTACTCGTACTGCTTGCTGCCGCTGCTGGAAGAGCGGAACAGTTTGCTGGAGCTGGGCTTCGGCTTCTCAGTTGGTTTGGGTGTCTCTTGGATTTCTTTGGTCTCCACGAGGGTGGCTCGCTGCTCATCCATCCTCTCGGATTGGTATTTGGATAGCAAATCGAGGAAGGACTCCATGGGGCTGTCTTCGGATTCCGAACGCATCAGCACGGCTTTCTTCTGGGCGTCCTCGGGGTCCTTCTTACCGTCGGGTGTCAACTGTATTATACATTATTTAGTTGGAATCTAATAATTTATGATAATTCGTTTTATGTCTCTTAATATAATGAATATACTTTAATATACTGCTATGTATTAAACGGTAGGTGTTCATTATATTAACCGGTCAACGCCACCCAACTAACTGCATTTGAACAATGACTATCCTAAGCCTTGAGTCAAAAAACACACTTGCCTCAGGCTTTTTTTTTACTGCTTAGATGGGTGGACGAGCTCACAGCCCACCTGGTGTTAAGTGGTTACTGGAGCCCATAGACATCTACAACGTAAATGCGCCACCCACCTTGAGATATAAGTTCTAAGGTCTCAGTATATCTACAACGGCTACCCCGCTTTTCAAACCGAAACGCATTATTGCTTCACGGCAGAAATAGGCAGGGTGGTGGTACCCACCGGCGCGGACTCACAAGAGGTCCTACCACCAGTAAAACTGATACCTACATTAAGGATACCGTTCAACAATTATATGACAAAATAGTGCAAAGTGTGAAGAAACTAGAATTGAAGAAATTACTTGTATCAGGGACAGCTGTTCCATGCTCTGCCTCCTCACGCGAAGGGCGTTGAAGGGCGTCTGGCTCGAGCCGGCTTGGTCTTGCGGGGCGGGCTGAGCTGCGGCGGCCTCGGCGAGGGGCGGGAGTCCGAGCACCTTGCGGAGATCGTTGATGTTCATCTGTGCCGTGGCCATCCCCAGCACATCACAGATCTGTTATTAATAACAGGAATGCGATTAAATATCGCCTTTATTTAAGTACAATCTTCAAAATGGCGGCGTCTCACTCGGGTATTCCAATGGTGCTAAAATTGTTTATTTATTTAATTATATCTTAAGTGAAGTTTCAAGCACGTAATATAATGTATGTTTTTTTTATTGCCCTTGTAGGCAGACGAACGCAAGGCCCACCTGATCGTGAGTGGTTACCGTCGCCCATGGACTTCAGCAATGCCAGGGGCAGAGCCCAGCCGCTGCCTACCGAAATGTATGTATATGCTTTGAAGAGTTCCAATCCGAGCATAGAACGGTACAAGCACGACCGCAGCCTGTATCGACTGACAAACGACTCCGATGATTGTCGCCGATTTCAAACGCACGTCAAAGTATTAGTATTAGTAGGTAGTATTCCTGGAACGAATCACGTTTTGTCGCCCACATTTCAATTGCTCGGAAAATTTTACAACCTTTCCTTTGAATGTAACGTCGTCAATAAGCTTTTCAGGAGAAGACGGAGTGTCTTCAAAGCGTGCCGTGGTAATGAGGAGCCACCGTTAGATCTTAACTTTCATAGCGATAAATTTCAAAACTAAGCTGCTCTAATGAGACACGAATTGAACTGCTCCTGTATAGGAATAGCGCTATTTTTTATTTTAACTTGAAACTTACAATAATTTCATGACTGCACAGCTCAGTAATGTTGTACCATTATGACTACTTTTGATCTTTTCTTAGATCTTTAGGTCTACCTTTTTTTTACGGAATTACTCATGTAGTTTTTTGTCTTTTTCTTGGAGTTAACTATTTTATTATTTAAAGAATTTCATATGTTTTATAATTTAGTATATTATATTATTTATGTAGCTTTATTATTTAAAGAAACCTTATTCGAAAATGGCCCCATAGATTTTGAAGTACAATATGAATAACCAATTTTAATTGAAAATTATGAATATTAGATTGGTTCTATTGTCCAATAATATAATATAATATTTATATTTACGGTATAAAGTTCAATATTCGTATAACGTAAAAATTACTTAAACAATATTTTTATGAGCATTTGTGAACATTTGTTAAGTACGTATTTCATTAGAAAAATTGGTACCTGCATGCGGGATTCGAACACCGGTGCATCGCTCGACACGAATAAAATGCATAGAATTTACCTATTCAAGTGCATTAGATAGTAATCAGCCTCACGTCTCAAGTTGGGTGGCGGTATTCATGTTGTGCTGTAAGTATATCGGCTGGGTAACCACTTAATGAGAGATGAGCCGTCGTTTTCTCATCTACGGCAAAAATCAAACATAATTTGACAAATAGTAAAACTTATGGCTTAGAGTGACCTCTTTCAAGCATACATGTTACAAGAAAAAATTATGGCACAGAGATGCGGTTTTCAAAATTGAAAAAAAGAACATTTTCGTGTTTTTTTTAATAATTATAAAAACCGTACGCGACCCCTCATTATTAATTAAAAAATGTTTAACTATATCTAAATTATATTCCATTTGCATTAAATAATCAATCACACTTATTATTTGTTTTTTCTTTTGATTCCGCACTTACATTAATGAAAAATATGAAAAGCCGTTGACGATTTCGAACGTAAGTATTGCGAAGTTTTCCCGCTAGAGAAGTGTGGGTAAAGCGCGCGATGAGTCGCGGACCGCGCTGTGCAGCGCTGTGAGACCACTGAGCGACCGGCCCCGGCCGCGCGCACCCCGGCCCGACCCCCCGGGACCCGGGCCCCGCCGGAACCGAACGCCACCTAGCCTCTCGCTATGCACTAAATAACTTTAATGGAAACTGCAACACTATAATTTCATACTGTGGATGGTTCGCAAATTCGTTCGGAAAATACGTAAGGAAACACTGGACAGTGGACGTCCTCGTTTCGGAAATACATTATGCGAATTACTTATGTGCGATGTGAACGTATTCCTGAATATATGAACAAGGCAAAAACATTAAAACGAGTGGGTAACTGATATTACTGACCTCTTTCGATATGGTATAATGTTCAATGGCATAATACAATGCTTTCTCGTGGTTGCCGAGAGCCGCGTGGGCGTTGCCCAGAGACCAACAGGCCCTGCCTTCGCCAACTCGATCCTGAAGCTTCCTGGCCGCCTCCAGGTGCCTAGCATGGTACTCTTCCGCAATTCTATACTCCCGGAGTAACGTGTACGTATTTCCTAAGGAGTAGCAGGCTTGTGCGACCACCGCTTCGTCTTTTAATTCTTCGGCAATCGCCAAAGTCTGTCTGAGAACAAATTATTGACGATCATCGAGAGTCACCTGACTGAGTTGTGGAGAGGACGAGCACAGCACAAAAACGCAAAGCAAAATATGTATGTCACACAAACATAAACAAAATTAAAATTAACAAAACATTAAAAAAATTAATCAATCGGCAAGGAATCGCGCAAGTAGCCGGCAGCGTTGCTGTGTGCAAACATTATTTTACATGCTGTGTAAGATTTAGCTAATGAGCTAGTCACTTCTTTATATAATTATGTCGCCACTCGTTACAAATTATCATTAAAAGTACGAATTCATAAATCAACTTGCACAATAACTAATTGTACTCACTAAAATTTACGTATGACGCTAGATACAGTTTCACGTGATACATCTGTCGAGGAGTCCTGCACTGAACAAAACACACGAATTTCGCGCGCTGCAGTCCAAACTAATATCAAACAACGTAACAGGATATATGGCTGTAATAATCTCGTTAGGAGTTTGGGTTTCACATTCGCCGTCACCTACCACGGTATTCAAACTCACTTGTAATGATCGGCCGCGTTCTCAAACTGCCCGAGGAAAATGTGTGAGTTTCCAAGATTGCTGTGGGCGCGTCTTTCGGCTGCCTTGTCTTTACATTCCTTGGCCATTTCCAGTCGCTCCGTGTGGTACTGAACAGCTACGTTAAATTCACCAAGCAGGTAATAAGTGTTTCCTAGGTTGCCGCAAGCCCGACCGATGGCTAGGCGATCGTTCAGCTCACGCATGAGTACCAAATTTTGTCTAAAATCATTTGGCATATATAAACTCAACATAATAGTAGAAAAAGTTACGTTTTTGAGATCTACATTATACAAGTACATACAATGCTGTTACTTTGTTATTTTACCGGAACTTTTAAAAGAAGGAGACAAATGAATATAAAAGAATAAATATTGATGGAAAACTCACTCATAATAGTTGACTGCTTGTAAAAGGCATTCGCGCACCTCTTGGGGAAAATGTCCCGGATCGTTTTGTCCGACCTTTCCCAGATGTTTACCTTGGGCATGGTATACGTTGGCCAGGTTGTACAGAGCTCTACCCTCGCTATTTCTGTCGCCCAGGGAGCGAGAGATCTCCAGGTGTCGGAGGCAGCACTGTATGGCCTCATTGAACTTTCCTATTACTTTAAGCGTGTTGCCTAGATTACCTGAAGCTTTGGCTTCGCCCAGCTTATCATTCATGGTTCTGCGAATAAAGTGACACCTTAGTAATGTGACAGAAATTTCTGAGTGTAGTATGTATACAGAATTTTAATTTAATTTAGTTATATTTTAACGGAATTGTCGACTTAATAGTAAGTGTTCGTTGAAAATTTACCCAACTACATCTTTAGATTAAGGAACTAAACATCGATACATCCGTGCTAAATGGGAACACCATTTCATTTAAATATTATCTCGTATTACGAATCTTTCAATAAATGTGAATGGACAATCTAAACAACTTCCTGTTAAAAGTATGAAACAATCACAGAAATCTCATAGCTGCAAACTCATTTATTGAAACTTAATTAAATTTCCACAAACTATCGACAAGAACTTACAATTAATTAAAATGTAGACAATAAATGTCGGAAGTTAGTCTTTCTTAGTAAAGTTAGTCTTTCTCTCTGAAGTAATTAAAATAGACGAAGGAAAATGCATTCCGAATGCGTGCAGCAACACGGCCGCGGCGAAATTCAATGATCTGATCCACACAGATTTGCAATTAAGGAGAAGTATCAATACTATTTGATGATCCGACATTATGCTCGTGTTTTATTATATCCCATGAAAATACGAAAGAAATCAACATAAGTAAAAAAAAAAACCAAGCAACATAATAATGCTCTTGTAATAAATACATATATCTAATTTATATTACGACAGCAATATAAAATTATTTGTATAGCATGATGCAAGGTATAAGATTTGTCAACGACAAACAGAGTCGCCCGCACGAGAAGGATTGTACTTTAAATTTATCAAGTAAATTTCGGACGTTTTAGAGCATTTCAAAGGTCGGTATATACTATTCCATCCTAAAGTTATCTCTAGCTCTCGTAACTCTGTAACGACTCGCAGCAGAAGTGGATTCATTAGTGTTGGAGTTGAATGTGAATGTTTGTGTTTATTTGTTTCTGATCTATGCGCTCACGGGTCTTTCATTCGGTTGAGTTATATACCATTGCTGCTGACACTGGAGAGTATATTTTATTTATTTATTGTTCCGGTGTTTAGACGACCTCACGGCCCACCTGATGTTAAGTGGTTACCAGAGCTCATAGACATTTGAAAACAGTGACAGCGAAGCGTAGGTCGATGCTATTAAGTGAATGATTAATTGGTTCTACATAAAGCGGTACCCGGGCCTAATAGTATATTGGTGTCGCGTCCGCCTTGGGATATGAGCTTGAAGTGGCTCGAAACTTGTATTCCTAGTGGTGTAGATTCTAGACATACCTTGCTAAAGTTAGATCGTGTCGGTGGTACTGCACTGCTTTATGGTATTCACCAAGGTAGAAATAAGCGTTGCCCATTTGGCTGTATATTGCGCTCAGAGTGCGTAGGTCATCTGTTCCCGCCTGTATCGCCGCTTGGAAGAAGGCTACTCCTGCTTTGCAGTCGCCAGCCTTGCAGAGCCTCTCACCTTCGAGAGCGAGCTCGAGACACATGGATCCTCCATCACAACTCTGAAACATTTTCATTCCTTTACAAACATATCGACTTAAATCTAAATTTAATATCTTTAACCTAGAGAAAAAATTATAGTAAGTTATGAAACTTGATATCAAAGAGCGGCGGGACATACGAAAAAAAAACACAATTGAGAATGAAACTTGGTCCATTTAAAATTTCAATTTCAATTCAAAAAACTAAACTTAAAACAAAGGAAAATTAGAACAAGTCTTTACGTAAAACTAAAAGTCATTTCAGGAGCATCATAATAGAATGGAAACTGGTTATTACGGTTTTAATCCTTTTTCCATTTCCTTTGGTGGTCTATTTCCGGGATTTCTACTTTACTTGATGAAGTTCTAATAACTATTGAAAGCTATCTTATAAAACGAATATCAAGCCTTATAGTATTATAGTTTGGAAGACAAGATATCGATCTGTGTGGACTAAGATTTAAATAATTATATATCTAAAATGAATGCACCCTAAACATATCTTCAAAATAAAACGAATTCAAAATTATTAACATCAAAGCTTGTAAAAGCCCTCGCCAAAGATTTGGCCAACTAAAGCCAAGTAGGTACACTTTAACAACGTGAAGAGTATATTAAAGCCGAAGGTGCGGTCGTTTAAACTTAGTTACCTAGGTATTGGGAAGATAAATCAATATAGCACCCTAACGTAAATAGCACATTTAGTGTGCATAGCTAGAAATACAGGTGCATGTGTGTGTTGTAGGTTGAAACTAATTACCGCAAGCTAAAGCATTTTAGAGACTATCTCCTGTTGTCACTTCGTAGTAATTTTGTGTTCAGAGTATGTTCTCGTTTGCTGTTATGAAGTGGATTTACATTAAAGGCTGTTTTTTTTCTCTTATGTGTCACAACGAACTAAACGATTTGATTTCCTAGGTGGACGTTAGATCCTAAAACTAGTTCTTTTTTGTATACTTATACTGGGTTACCTATATTTAAAATTAATAAACTGGATTGTAAATCTCCAGAGCAAGATCTCTTTGTTTTAGTAACATTTACAACTGTTTACAATAGTTTTCTTTATAAAACACATAGGAGCTTTATTATGACTATATCGTCAGTACAAGTATCAGCAGTAGAATTTCATTGACCCGTAAACAGGCTTGGAATAGCAGAAAAATAAAAGACTAACAAGCTACTCTGCCAATTTCCAACGGGAATGCTTGACTTTTGTTTTGTTCGGCGGAAGCATTTTCTCGCTGAGAGTGAATTTACAAAAAGAAAAAATATATTGCCTTATTATTTCCACTTCAAAATTCGATGCAATGTTTTTTTTTTATGATTGAAAGATTACTGATGGCCCGGAGGCCTTTCCAGCTTCACCAGGACAGGTGGGCGAGCAAAGGCTCAGCCAGGAGGGGTGGGATTTGCTAACAACTGCCCGAGCGCCTCCGAAGGAGACCTAACAACTCAAGAGCAATTGTTTCGCGAATGAATCTACTACCGGATCGGAATCGCGACCCACTGAGAAGATCCGGCGAGAAACTCAGCGGGCTGATGCATGGGTTAGGTTGCACGGCGAACTCTTTGTCGAGTTCGACGAGTACGGTTACCGGGGTCCCTAAGCCTGCTCCTAGTGTTAGAGCTGAAGGCGTCTAATGCAAAGGTTATTGGATCTGATGGATCCGTAAGGACGTGTCTAGGGCGTCGACGGTGACTGGCTCCTGCATGATCAGGATTCGGGGAGTAGTCAGCGGCGGCAACGATAAGGCGATTATCATGACGCATAGCCTTATCGAAGTATCGTTCCGACGCTGACTTCATGTATTTCCGAATTGATTCGAGGCCCAGGTCGTCGTGTAGGTCAACGTTCCTCACGAACCACGGAGCCCCGACAGCTAACCTGCAAAAGCGGGATTGTAGGGATTGGAGGGTGTCTATGTGTGTGCGGGCCGCGTGAGCGAACACCACACTCGCGTAAGTCATGACGGGCCTTATGCAAGTTTTGTAAAGTGTCACCTTGTTCCGAAGGGACATTTTACTCCGCTTACAGATCATGGGGTAGAGTCTACCGAGAATAAACGCGGCACGGTCACGGACTGATTTTATA